GTGTATGAGCATAGGAGACTTGATTGAGCTCTTGAAAACTTCAACTTCCTTGCAAGAACCAAAACCCTAGTTTGACTGGCTTAGGAGGATGGTTGACTGTGTAGCCCTTGAGTAGACTTTGAACCATTTGAGGATGATTCTTGTCAAAACTTTGAAGATTATGGGAGGGAAAATTTTGGGGTACAACATATATATATATGGATTAGAGAGATTTTCAAGTTTAAAGAGAATGAAATAGTATTTGTCGACTTATAGCTTTCATGTGTCAACCTATAAGAGCAAATTTGCTTCTATGTGTCGACCTGAAATAGACAAATTGCAATTTTTCAAAACTGATTCAGTATGTGTCGACCTGAAGGCACTATGTGTCTACCTGAAATGGGCAGACTGTAATATTTCAAAAACGTTTTAGTATGTGTTGACCTGAAACACGGGTGTGTCAACCTATAAACCAATTTTTTTGTTTATGTGTCGACTTGTATGATTCATGTGTCGACCTGAAACTTCTATTAGGTTTTCTTTTTGTGCATCCAAGATCATGTGGCGACCTATGCATGTATGAGTCGGCCTAAGAACTGAGTGTTCACACAAACACTTGATTTTTAACTTGTAAAACATATCTAACATGAATTTAAGTTTTCTAATATGTAAATGCACATCTAGATTAGAGACTAAGTTCCAATGTATAAATACTACTGAGTTTTAACATCATTCAAAACATCTAAAAGTATAGTGCACTCACAATACCAACAATCAAACCAACCCAAAAGAACACTACAAAGCCATTACAACTAGGAGTAGCAAAGTGATTGAAAACAACATTAAGGAAGAAATGGAAATAGTTGTTGTTGAACAAGAAGAAAGTAAGAAAGAGGCAAAAGGAAAAGAGTTGGAGAAAAAAAGTGAAGAAGCAAAGATAAAAGATCAAGGAACAAAGGAAGACAAACTAGAGAGTCAGCATATTCAAAATCTTCATGATACACTAACTCTAACTAAAAACAATAAGAAAAGGTAGTATCATATGTTATTATACATTCCCAAAGACTATAAATGAGCACATCACTCTCTTAAGCCTTTAAGAAACTGCTCACATAAGTCAAAATCATGAAAGAGACTGAAAGAAGAAAAGAAAGTATATTACAAAACTTTAACACAAGCGTCGAGCTAATGAAGTTAAATAAACGCTTATTTGGGGGCAACTCAATTTTTCACATTTAAAATTTTTTTTATGGAAATTTTATTTTTGTGAACTGAAACACATGAAAACATATTTTAGTAATTTTGCAAACATCCTCCTAGATGAACTCATGAACTCACTAAGCAGAGAGTTCATTGATATTTATTTTTTGAGTTTCCATAAAGGTCGGTCTACCAGTAAAATATTATTTTCGCTAAGAGAAAATTTAAGGTCGCAACTATAGGGTATTGATTCAAAACCCCGGTTTCACGTGATGATTGGCTAAGGATAATCCAATTTTTTTGAAGGGGTGGATACTCCAAGAAATCACGCCAAAACCTGTAACATCTAATTTTGTTATTTAATTGCTTTATACATGTTCAAGTTCTAAATACACGAGTACTTTCAGACAACATTTGAAAATTTTGAAACTTTTGCACTAGAGAACCAAGAATGATCAAACATTGATGGTTGTGAGATGCAAAAATGGAATTGAACTTCCAATGCTTTGAGAGAGGGACTGACTTGCAAGGCTAGTACTCCAATGCTCAAGCCAATATCTGAGTAAGATGAGTGAATGAAGTTTTAATTTGAATTGTGTACCTAGAAAATAATGTGTTTTCCCTTTATATAATGTGGCAATTTATAATAACTTGTTGATCTTCAAGCGTAGTATGCAGGGAGCCGTTGGATGGATCATGGATCCAGATCCCTTACGCTTTACCTTAGGATAAACTTCTACCATGCGAGTGACTTGGAGGATTATTGTCTTCTGTGGGCCACAATCGTTGGATCTTTTGGCCCTCCCGAAATAGTTGTTCCCCAAGCTATTGCATCTGCTTTGTAGTGTGGAGGATTTTGTCGTATTTGTCCTTTTGCGTCAGGTGTATCCCATCTTTAGTGGAAATCCAAATAGGTGATGTTGATGTCATTGGAAATCTGCGCCTTAAATGGGCACCTGTTACAAATTTCTTTTTCGTGGGTTTTATCGTAATGATCTTTGGAAATTAAAATACTTTAGTAGTTTCCTAAGACAATTTCGAGCGTTGACAGTACTTATTATCTTTCTTTTTGTAAGTCACCATGTGATCTTTGGAGATTCTGTTCTACATTTTCTTAAGAAATTACCTTTACTTTTTCGACATTTTTATTTCCACAACATACCATTTTTTGTGGCCGAAATAAGTGGTGCCTATCATGAGCCAAATATCAAAAGAAGGTACTTCTTCTTGGGTTGATCCCATTATTTTGACAACCGCCTCTACATTTGTTCGTGGATGTAGTTTTAAGAGGGCATTCCTCGACGTGGATCCTTCTTCATACTAGGGTGTATTGACCCCTGAGGAAGATAAAAGGATTTGTATTGGTATGGCGGGTCCACCATTATTTTTTATGAGTGCACTTTTTGATCTTGGGTCTTCGTTTTCCCTTCAAGAGTTTTAAAATAGAATTTTTTAACAATTTGATGATCGCTCCCTTTCAACTGAATCTTGTGAGTTGTACTTACATTAAAGTCTTACAGTATTTGTGTGATTATCTTTCTTTTTGTAAGTTATGATGCAATGTATGAAGAGTCTGTTCTACAGTTTCTTGAGAAGTTACCTTTACTTTTTTGACATTCGTATTTCCACAATGTACCATTTTTTGTGTCTGAAAGAAGTGGCACCTATCATGAGTCAAAAATCAAAAGAAGGTACTTCTTCTTTGATCCCATTATTTTGACAACCACCTCTACATTTTTTCGTGGAGGTAGTCTTGAGAGGGCGTTCATCGACGTGGATCCTTCTTCATACTAGGGTGTATTGACATCTGAGGAAAATAAAAGGATTTGTATTGGTATGGTGAGTCCACCATTATTTTTTATGAGTGCACTTTTTGATCTTGGATCTTCGTTTGCCCTTCAAGAATTTTAAAATAGAAGTTTTGAACAATTTGATGATCATTCCCTTTCAACTGAATCATGTGAGTTGGGCTTACATTAAAGTCTTACAGTATTGGTCTGATTATCGGGAAAATACTGTCTTTATCCATTTTATTCCATCTTTTTAGAGATCAATGTAGTTCAGCAAACATCAGTCGTCTTGGAGAAGAGGAAGGGCACCTTGCACACAGTTAGTGATCATCATAGATAAGAGATATAAAGTTGTTAAGAAAACTTTTGTGTGTACTTGATTCGACTTATGTTGCTCCCCCCCCCCCCCCCCCCCCCCTTTATTGGGGTTATCCTTGGGTTTCTACTAACCCTCATTCTTTAATTCTCATCCAAACTGTTTATACTGCCAAATAGTGAGATATAATTCGTTATTATCTAATGACCCTTCTTTCTCCCTTCTACTTGGATCAAATGTTTTCCTTAGGACGAACCCATATTTGTTCATTAGGTCCTAGAACCTTATGCTGGATGAGAGATATTTTCCCCCTAACGTCATAATAATGATGTCATTTTGACCACAAATATTTTCATCTTGGACCTTTGGGACTTTGTGGAGCATCCTCCATCATGTCATTTGTTATCATTTGTTATCTCTGGTGTTTCTGCAAACCAATTAGTGTGATCATTAAGGGAATTTCTTATTCCACTCTATGAGGTGGAAAAGAACCCTATAAAATTTCAAAAATGTCTTTCAGTTTCGAAAATACATCTACGGACGCACCTTATAAACATTCAATTCATTCGTTTTTGAGACACGCTCCAATTTTAAGACTAAATTTATTCTCAAAATGAATTTCTAAAATAATTCCAAGAAGGGTCATGCTAACATGTGCTCTAAAGACACATATTAAGGATATTATAATTAGGAAAATTTAAATGTAATTAAATATAATAAAATCATATTTAAAATTTCAAAATATTAAATACACGTGTTTCAAAAAAATATTTCTACAAATAACTTATTAATTTATGTCATTAAGACATTAACTTTTTCTCTCTAAAAATACATTTCTGAAACCGGTTGAATGAATAAATAATCATTTAAAATCATTAGCGTTGTTTTATAAAGCTTATTTTCAAGACACTATATTAGAATGAAAAGATAAATAGAGTAGCAGCAAGTTACATTAAAGGAGCGGTATTTATGGTAGTGGATATCATTGTGTATTTGGCATTGTTACTAACATTCATTCACTAGGTTTTAAAGATGTATTTTCAAAATTATTTCGGAAATGTGTTTTTGAATAATTCTAATAATAAATTTAAGGTGTCTCAAAAATAAATAAATAATATATATTTTAATTGCATTCGAAAATACATTTTTAAAATCTATAGCTATTTTAAAATTTCACCCTGTGCATTAGTAATCTATGAAATTCCCATTATCAATATTGCAAATGTCCACCCACTGTAAAGAAACCATTCATGACACCTAGATAATAATCTTCAAGAAATTCCCAACGTATTTTAACTATTTCTCTCAACAGATATTTTCAAAATCGAGTTAGTCAAATCCATTCAATTGAATTTATAATTTTTTTATATTCTCTCGAATATTTATCACTCATTATCTCTTCGAGCAATCAAAGATAGTTTAAACAAATTAAGGTATTCGATAAGACAAATATATCTTTCCATGTTTGATCTAAAAATTAACCGTGTACGAAAAGAAGTGGGAGACTGAACAGAAACACAATCTTGTATCTTACCAAATCATTGTATATTGTGATTTGCATGTGACCAAAATATACAAAGCTTACAAACAAGCAACATGTATATATGAAAACGAAAATCAAACTCTCATAAAAACGCATGAATTAAGGATCCATGATATCCCTAATCTATACTAAGTGCAAGGTAAAACAGACACATTACGTCCCACACATTAAGCTAGAATAGAATCTTCTTGCATGTCATCTTCAAATGATGAAATCCCTTTTGGAGAGAAGACTTGAGTTTACCTGGAACTGCATAAAGCTTGTATTTGGTCACCCTACGTTTTCTATCCAAATCCCTGTCATTCCACCACGACGTCCGGAAAGCTGATTTTCTCGCAATCTCTGTGCACCGATCACGTTGAGAAGGATCATAATTATAAGAACTAGGAGAGATCTTATCATGGCTCCTTGCTACGTGTATTTCCTTCTCGCATAAAGTTCTCACACGCTTACCGTGCTGATTATACAAACCTTGAGCTCCATAAAATGATTGAGGTTGCTGATACCCTATTGCTTCCATCTCTTTGATTTTATATATATTTCTTTTTGTGTATATAAATCTGATGTTGGATTATATACCTCTCTTTTCCTCCTAGAGAGAAGGTAAGAGAGGACTTTGAGAGATGAAACTAAAAATCATGTAACGTTTGGAACAATATTATATATGCAACTTTACTCGTTATTTTTGGTAAAGAGGGAAGGAGAGGTGAATAAGGGAGGAAAATGGATGCGTTGCTGCAATAAGAGTGGGAGAGAATATGTAAAGTCTGAATTTAGCCAAGCTCATCATTCTCAAATCTCAGCTACATTTTATATAGTACTGTTTATTTTGGGACTAAATCTAAATAACCATAATAGCAGCTATAAATATAGAATGTCCAAATTGTCTATCACATTTCTAAACAGATATCGTGTCCAAAAAAAACAAAACAGCCATTTGGAGAAAAAAGAAAATCAAAGATAATAATGTTCAATGAAATCTGATGGACAGAAAATATTTACATTTCATAACAATTTTTTTTTTTTTTTGTATTTGAAAGTTACTATCATACTTAAATACATTCAAATAATTACAGGTTAGACGATCATTACTTCTTGGTCTCAATCGCGGCCACTTTAATATGGGAGCTTCGTTTTACACCCTTAGAAAATTAGGGTGGAAAAAGAAGCTCTCGTTCAATTTTTGGTGCGTTTCTTGTACTTCTTGGTCTTGGCCTTGGTGGTTTCTGTGTGGGACTCCTGGACAGCAGTTTAAACAGTATAAGTAATTAGGCATACAAACTGAGGTTATTCTAATGCAAGGTAAATGTAAATATTTACTAAGGATTTAATGTTAAGCCCAAGCAAAACTACTAAAAGCATATAGAAAATGACAGAATGAAGAGAAATAGAATTCGCGTTGATGAAAAGGTGGTGGTATCGTCACTCACGATGCAAGACTTCCACTCATCTCCTTGATCTGGAAGTTGGCGGAATATGTGAACAAGTACAACAGCATCCAGGGCAGCATATTCCAGCTGTACATATAAAATCATGTTAGATTATTGAGTGAATTGGTTCAAACGGATTGAATTATACATACTGAAAATTTCTTTAGAAATCATATATATATATACAAGCATAATTTGGAGCATTAAATCCACTATCAAGAAGTTAAATGAACTTATGTGTGAACCTTTAACTTTTTACACTTTACAATAGGAATCAATCATACCTTATCGTGTGAGTATTTTTGCAACTATTTAATACTTAAGAATGGAGGAATAAACTCAATTTTCACAAAAAAATATTATGAAAACTTTTAGCCTCAGAAGATCTATTCCTCACCCACCCCGTGAGTACGGATTGAGATGCAGCAAATAAGAATTATACAAAAATAAATCTCAAGGCCCCGAAGCAGATGTTGAAATAGAATTGACAGAGAAGTTTTATGAAGTCAAAGAGCATTATGAACAGGAAAAAAAGGGGTGGGGTCAATTACTTGATTTGGAGTTAAAGGTCGCTGCTCCCAATCGCTGTTCCGTCTTGTCTTGTTTAAACCAGCCCCCAGCACTTTCTGATTTACCAATAAACACACAAATTAATATGCTCACAGAGAAAAACGAGGGCTTTGAACATCAACCAACTACAAATATAAGATCTAAAAAAACTATAGCATGAAACATTAAATGGAAATTCATATATGGTACCTGTGCAAGCCCAGCCAAACCGCCATGGGGATCTTTAAAAATTTTCTGGACGTCTAGCAACCTTTTATAGTTCTTGAAACATTTCAGCTCTTCATATGAGTGAGCAAGTTGTTTTATATCACATTGGAAATTATACCCTGAAATAGACGCCATGGTGAAGCAATGGTTACTAATGTTTTTTGTAACCTAGAGTATCCTTCCATGGTATATGCGAGAGACTCGGGATTATATGTTTAAGGGATCAAATCTTGAAAATGGTTACCAATACCCTGAAAATAAATCCAAGGATTGTTTAAGGGATAAAAAATCCTGGTCTACTCCAACCAATACATAGGCTAAAGGGATATGTGTTTGATATTTTCCGATGCATACCAAGCTATGCAACACTAACTCTGACACAGACGCACACATTGAACTGCAAACTTAAAAATATAGTACACCGACATCTATACATATTTATTTATGTATATTATAGTTAAATAAAATGTGAACATTTTCTATAACTGATCTCAACTGAAAATTAAAACATATATGTGCATTTAAATTGAGCAATTTGTTTCGTTACATAAATGTTCTTAAACAAAATACAATAGTTTTTCATCTAACATTCATCCATCAACTATACCAAAAAGCAAAAAAAAAAAGAAGTGATTTAATCAATTTAATGTCTTAAACAGTTTCATTGATGTTTCTGAGACATCTTTACCCCCCCTAGAAGTGTCTGAGATGTGTCCAAGGAGTTTCTAAGGTGTATCGTAACAACGCAAAAATAAATTTTGGGACACTTGTCTCACACGTGTTGTACGAGTGTTTGTTAATTCAGACCTAAAAAGTTACAAACATCAAGTTAAGTTGATGCACCATTCCCGTCAATAATGCATAAGATACATGCTATCGTATCCCATCAATAGCAACATTCTTATTCAGGTAAATATAGTCATCCCTCAATAGTTAAGTTGATGCACCATTCCCGTCAATAATGCGTAAGATACATGTTATCATATCCCATCAATAACGACATCCTTATTCAGGTAAATATAGTCATCCCTCAAAAGTTAAGTTGATGCACCATTCACCCAAATAAAAGTTAAGTTAAGATACATGACACTAATGAGTTTAAAATTTCCGTACCAAGTTTTAGAATTCCAGGTGACAGCAAAATGCGGGTTAGACAGTTGTCTAAACATTCAGGCACCTCTTTGTGTAACTTTATCAAATCAAGTATGAAGGCCTTCTTTTCAGACGCAATTTGCATGATAGAAACCTGAAACATGAAATTTGGGGAGAAAGGGAATATAACAGGAGAATCAAGAGTTCAGTTTTTTATTAGAAACATATCATAGCTCGAGAAGCTAAAACCCAGACATAAATCCATACAATTTAAGTGAGCCTAGAAAAAAATACATGGCACTATGTTTCTGATACCCAGGAAGTATTCTATTATTCTTTCATTTAGTTTGTCCAACCCAATATTTCTTAGATATGGATTCCTGCTGAGCATAGGACTATCACCTCTCTTCCTCGTTGTCAAAACTGTGTGTGTTCTCCTTGGTTGGGATGAAGTAAAATGGATCAAGAACAAAGCTCTTGTTAACATATCTAGACTGTGGAATCTTGTTAAGTTTTGCTATCAACATAATATTGCATTTAAGTTTATTCATAGATACATTAACGTATGCATGTGAGTATTAATGTGTTATGCAGGCGTAGATGCAAGATTGTAAGTGTTTGGGTGAGTGTGTGCAAACATATCTAGATTGTGTCGTAATATTACTTTGTTCTAAATTTTCAGTATCCCGTATTTGTATCACCGTTGCACTCATATTGAATTATGTATTGGGGCTTCTTAGATGGAGAAGCAGTAATCTATTGCAACTATCGTTTTAATTTACCTTGTTTGGCTTGCTGCCTTTTACATAATTAGGCTTCCACTCACAATCAAGGCCTATGACTTTAGCATCCTCAATCTGACATGTTGCAGCAAGCAAACTTTCAACTTCATCAACCCAAATAATGTCTTCAATCATCAATTCCTCGAGCTGTAAATAGCGGCCTTGGGGGATACTGGTTTCAAGCTCTGCAGGACAAAAGCAGTACTGTGTTCATCATCTGAGAATGAAGTTACGGAAAACAGACTGTTCATAACAATTAAGCACAAAAATCAAATGGTAACAACTAACAATACCAACTCTGTAAGCTGCTAAAAGTGCACTAACAAACAGGAGTAAATCCTTCACAATTCAAGAATAAGAAAGGAAGATGACTGAAAAGAAACACAACTTTTGAGGCAAAAGACGAATAAGCAACCAACAATTTTAATGAGACAATACGTGTTCATTATACTACTATATTTCCTTTCTTTATGAATTTTTGTTAGTCACAACTCACAAGAAACTGCCTTACCTTTAATATTCAAAAATCTGTCTAGGGAGTACCGTTCACACAATTCATCAACTTTTTCCATGTAACCAGCTTCCAGTGCCAAGTAAACCTTGAACATATAAAACTATTAGATAATAGCATACATATTTTAAATTTCATTGTTGCTAGCAGGGCTAAGAATCTGACAAGAAAAAATTGATAACTATTGCTCTGGAAAATCAACAAAAGAAGTACTTTTAACTTATATTTGGTCCTACAATAGCTAATGCACAATTTTTGTTCATTGATAATTTTTTGCTCAAATGTAATCTCCTAATTTTTTTTTTATTGTTATTGTTAGAATATATAAAATATATTATAAGTTAGAAAATCATCTCATAAGACTAGTTTCTTTATCTAAGAATGTCTCTCAACATTAGTTTTCATATTACTTGGTGATTAGTAATTATTATGATTTGTTTCACTGTTAAATTAGAATTAAGAATCATGTGTGATTGTATCCCTATAAATATAGGTTAGTTCTTAATCTTTTGTATTAGAAAATCACCAATCATTATTATATTTTGCTTGTATTCTTTCTCTTCTCTCTTGATCAAAAACCCATAACTTCAGCATGGTTTCAAAGTAGTATCATCCTCCGTGACCCGTCCTACATTATTTTCTTAGCATGTTTCCGATTGTTTGGGATCGTAGTATTGGTCAACCAAATATTTCATTGAGCTTTTGTTGTACATCAACCCTAAGCAATTCAAATTGTAACAAGCATGTATATTTAAAGTTAGAGGTTGATAAGAAATAACCCCACCTCCTAGGATGCACTGAATCTGACAGCCCATATTACCCACTAGATATGAAGAAAATAGTAACACATGAGGATGAAATGTTTGTTCTGGTTTTGATATAGAATAACTAGACAGATAATAAGCTAAAAATTTAACACAGATTCAAT